TACTGATTAAAACTTACAAAAATGATTCGCGAATCTGAAACTATTTCGAAATCGTATGGCTGATGAACATCTACATTTTGGAAGCCAACCCTCTACATCAAGAACAAGAATATATTGTTATATGCTATGATAGCAAAGTTTTAACGTCTAGTCGTTGTTTCGAAAAAAAATCGTTTATTCTGTTCGTCATAAATTTCAAAACATTGTTTCATATGAAGATTAGGAAGGCGATGAGGAAATCTGATTGTATTATATTGAGAGAGAAGAGAATGAACCTTCTCCACCGAAAACACTTGTCATTAACGTCTGCTTCTTGCATGACTAGTTTGGACCACTGATATATACTTGCCATTGTTGTTTTATTTCGTCAACAGTCGAAAAAATAAATTCCAGCATGTGTTGAAGATGAAAATTTGAAGAAAAACTTCTGCAAGACCATCTTCAACAAACAATCCTGTACTTTATAATATTTTTTTTATCTTTTTCACAAGGAATTTTAAAATATTTATTTCTTTTTTTTTGTTTTAATTTTCGTTTCAAATATTTTTTTTGTTTTTCAGGTTTTAATCAATTTTTTTTTGTTTTCAGCTCCTAATCAGTCAACAAATTAAATTTTCATGTCGAAATCTGCTACGGATGACTTCTTAGTGTATCGATTTGACGTCTGTTCTGGTACTTTTTGTACCCAAGATGCTAATTTAACACGTGCAAATATAATATAAATAATAGTTGATCCTATTGTCAGTATGGCAGTTAGAGTGAATAATAAAGACCACTGAAAATGAATATTTGAACTGTCAAAATGACGTTAGTTGGACTCACATTGTTTCCTTGACCGTATGATAAGATTAGCTGCACACATAGAGGAACTAGTATTTGTGATAAGCCGGTTAAAATCATACTGATGTTCATTGCAAAATGTGCATGCTGATGAGCAACCTGGAACGGTTTGATAAACATCTCATGTCATATATGGAACAAACAGCTTGGATTGTCCTGTTTGTGATGACAGGAACAAATAAATGCAATGAGCCATAGATCATGGAATAAATTAATGAAAGTGTTTGATCGTTCGTCTATAAAATCCGCCCAAAGTTAATTTCTATATTTAGACTGTTGCTGTTTACCATCCCAGTCAGAAAAAGTGCTATGCCAGCCACTAACTCAATTATGATAACCAGACTATTGAAAGTAACTGTTTTGCTAAAACCGAGGTCGAGGTCTGAATTTAAAAGAATAGTTAAATATAAAAACAAAATTTTTAAAAGATACCCAATACACGTCCCAAAACAATTTTGAGAGCAATGGCTATTGCCATAGGAATAGCAGCAAAGTAGCCAGTTCCACGTATTGATATACCCAATTGCTGTAATTAACATAGAAGATGGAGAGTATATAAGTGAGATGTATATTACATCATTGAAATATGTAGGAATATATTGTTGAAATACGATCATTCCTATATTATAACAAACAAATAGAAAGATGGCAACAATTATTGTTTTATCCAACAATAGTGATTTGTATGGCACTTTTTCACTTTTGTTTACCACACTCTTTCCTTGTAATATTCGTTTTTTCTCATTATCTGAGCATAATCTGTAATATCACATAGTTAATAATATAGAATATTATAAATTAACCTTGCATTCTGTACATTATCATTATAATAATATGCTGAGACGATTGTACTTAGGAGTGTTAATAATCCTAATAGATAATATACAACTTCCCAGCCTAATGTTGAGCATAGTTCGCCACCTAATGCCATTGCTATTAATGATCCAAACTATAACATATAGCTATTATATTATATTCTTAAATGATTGATTATACTTGAGCAGATCCTAATATGAAACTAAAAAAGAAAGATCGTTCGTCTACACCTGCCCATGTAAGTACAAGTTCGTTTGAAAAATATGATTGACTAGCTTGAGCGAAACCCTGTTAAGATGATATATTATGTTTGAAGTCACATGTTGATATATTACAGCAAAGAAACGTGTTATCATGGCCATTGTGAAGCCAGAACTATCAGCTAATGGATATAATAATGATGATAAAGCTGATATAGTTCCATAGATAATTAATAATAATCTAAATAACTATATATATATTATATATAATTAATATATTTGTTACTTTGTGCTAAGTTTGTCTCCCCAATATAATGGAATTGGTCCAATACAAGAACCAATAGCTATGATGGTGTACATCCACGTTTGTTGAGAAGAATCATTCAAATAGTATTCACCTTAATAGTGTCAATTATCAATAATATCGTTCATTATTACAATAAATACTTGTTCCATTGATATCGGGTTTCACTTGACACAGAACAGTCAGACCGAACACAATTCTGTTGGCGAACATGAATGAAACAGAACTTGTGACCAGAAAAAGCACAAAAAATCGATATCCAATCATTCTTTGAAACAAATATTAATTAGATAATTGTCTTTCTTACAAAAATATTTTTGAAGAGAGAAGAATATATATATAGAGAGAGAGAAAGATGAGTGTGTATATATTGATAAAAGAAGATGAAAAACTCTCCAAAATCATTGAAAACAGGTATTGCGGATGTTTACTTAAACTTTTGAAGAATCATAACAGTGTATTGGAACGAACATGACGTTCATAAAGCCAAAAGACCATTTTATAGGATGGCTAATCTGAGGTAACATTACAAGAGATAACTTATGCTAACTAGAGAGTATAAATCGTCAGGCATAACGTACTTAAACGATTATATGCTCAATATTAAAATTCAATGTATTACATATCGTGACCAGATTAGGTTATCGTCAATCAAAACAATATTAAACAAAAACAAATGATATCTCATAGACACAGTTGCACTAAAATGCAATGAAATGTGCTATTGAGATGATACAATTCATAAACAAATGGAGTCAGATGGTAGGTAGTTGTAGTTGAGAAGACATAAGTTGAATATTATAGTTTGGAATTCAGTAGCTGACAGCTGTCTTGAACTGAAGACAAACAGTATATCAGCTGATTATATAGTTTAGCTTTTGCACTTCTCACCTGATCATCGCTTGTCAACAGTTTGACTTCTGAATAAAGAAACAAAAAATTGAAAAGAAAGAATCATTTGTTATCAAATGGAACACACACCAAAATCATGATACATGTTGATAGTGATGATAATCAGGTGTCAAATGATATATCGTTGTTCGTTTGATTTCATGAACAATCCGATCTTTAGCATCAAACATAATGTTGTAACACATATTTTTTAAAATGATATATAATGTTTATAAAAATGTAGATGAAATCAATGTTTAACCAGAATGCAGCTCCGAAACACGTTGAAACGAAAAGCAGACAAGACGTAATGAGGCTCCATGTATGGCCTACAACAAGTCTCATAACTCTTCTTTTCATATAATCACGATGAACGATACCTTAAAGAAAGAAACTTCCTCATATCATGTTCGCGCTCAATCATATCTTTCAAACAGTTCGAAAAAGTTTTCATACTACCGTACTCCTTCATACAAATTACTCATCTTTTTACATAAGACAGATATCTTATTATATTATACTTGTGCCGCAAAGAAATCGATAGTCGATTAAAAATCGATTAAATCGACTAATGACGTCATGCACAGACTATTTTTTCGAATAACGATTAATTTTTAAGAAGTGATTAATCAGTCGACTAAAGCTTGAATTGGTCGTTTTTGAATTCTATCAAAATTTTGAAATGGCAGCGGGAAAAATATAAATGAAAGTCTGATCAAAAATGAGGAAAATATGGAACTTGGGACGTACTCAGCGAGATCTTCTACAAGATTATGCTAAAAGATGTAAGCGACGCAATAGATCGTGTCTCGGATGGTCCGAGCAAGCTGTTCCTGGAAGCATTGGGAATGTTCAACTTGTCTGAGCACGATAATCTAAATAAAGCTGTGCTCCAAGTAAATCTCAAGAAAACTGTGCCCTTTTCAGAAGTACGACCAGTAATATGTGGACTCACTCTGCAATGTCGGAAATAACTTCTCACTTCAAACAAGGAAATTCAGAAGAGAAGCTGGTGGAATTCACCGCGACCACGTACTCGTCTATCTGATTGGCAGAGTTGGAAACTTTCCAGTCGTGTGGTCGACACTGCAAAGCGGACTCACCATCAAATCAAGCGTAAGTAGCGTGATAAAACGTTCAAAATATCTCTGGGATATTTTTTAACCTTTCTTTTACTCAGAGTGGTGTCACTTACAGTCCCCGTATGAGTCAGTGTAGGTTGATTGATGAGTTGCTGTTTTATGTGTGTGATATTAAGGAGCACCCATTTCTGGAGATTCTGACACGAAATGACAATGGTTTCCCGATATCCAGCATCAAGAAACAAATGTACAGGAGGAGACTCGAGAGTGAGCTTTTATTGTATGTAACAGTAATAGTTATATCATTTTCAGAGGCAGGGTTCAACAAAGGTGAAAGCAGCTACCTTGCGTAGCTTTGGATCACTTCTTTACTACTCAATGCGTGTAGCTCAACGGAAAGATGTCGGTTTCAAAGAAATTTTAGAGCTTAATGATGTTGATAAGTTTTTTAAATTTCTTTGTTTGTTTTAGAGCATGCAACGGATGGAAAAAGGTGGATTTGCTCAGCGATGAAACCTCTATGAACTCTATTCTTCAATTTGCTAATGAAGCGAGCAGAGCGTTCAGGGTGCTGGAAATGGATAAGTCTCTGGTTAGAGAGGATATTGAAGAATGTGCTAAGCTGTCTCGGATGGTCCCCCCTTAATAAAGTTCGATTCCAAAAATGGGCATTATCCATATGTTGTAATAAACCCAGAGCTAATCGATGCCTTCGAATTCTATATAAAGTGCAGGTAAGTTAAATAACTATAACTTATTGAGTTCTCATTAAGTTTTCCACCACGCGGGTCTGTTCTTATGGAGATGATGCTAGATGTTGTAATATTTATTATTTACCCAATTATAAAATCACATACTTGATATTTATTTATCTTTATCTACAAAATGAAGAAATACAGACAGATTCTCTGCAAAAGCTATAGAAATAGCATGATGATAGATGAGAGTTAGAGAAATCCAAATTCAAACAAGCAATATGCGGGACCAGAACAAGATATGAACTGTCTTATTTGTTGTCAGAAGCATGAAATTTAAATGCTTCAATTCAGAGTGAGTAAAATGCCTCACGATTTTTGAACAAACATAGAATTTCATTTGCGTTTGATTCTCATTTACAACAGTGTCTCAGTCGTATAGCCATTATGTTTCTATAGCGTTTGTGGAGTTGTTTTTTGTGAGAAATTAAGCGTGTTGCTGAAGAATTTTAAACGAAAAAACATTGAATATTTTTGAAGATGTTTTGTTTTTATTGCAGATTCATACATTTTCGGGAAAAATGGAAGAAGAAAAGCTATCTCGAGACTGGGCACAGTTCCTTGAAATAGCTAAACTTGCAACTAGAGAACAAGGCAGTCGTGCCTGCCAAATTCATCTATGCAAGGCTGCAGCGAAAATCTCTGAAGGATTGGTTGAAAAAAAATACATTCTTGATGATCTACATGCTTTATGGTTGGAAAATATTGAGAAGATTTCTGCGATTTTAGATGAAGAAGAAGAGATGAAAAGTAAGCATTTACCTATATTTCCTCATTTATACTCATTTTTGTAGCAACACTCCGAGAATTTTTCATGACGCTCCATTCCGGAGAAGAAACGGACTTCTCCATCGATTTCATAGGTGATAACTATTTTTAATTTTTCGAGCACGACGCCAAAAAACCGACTTGACATAAACCGACATTTGTCATGTCTATTGTGAAAAAAGTGTCGTCTTATCAAGTTTTTGACGATAATATATTGTCTAATTCTTGTTCAATTTGAACACGATTTTTAAAT